CTTTTAATTTTTAATTTTCACTTTTTGTTAATAATATTTTTTATTTTTTTTATTTTCAGCTTGTATTAATATTTCAATTTTTATTTTTTTTTGTTGTTGCTTGTATGTTATTTCTTTGTAATTTCAGTTTTTTGTTTGATAAAATTGATATTTTTTTATTATTCTTTTTAATTTTTTACAGATTCTTTCAGGTATTTCAAATCAATTTATATCATATTAGACAATAGAAGTCCCAACTGATGAAATACAACACTTGCTTTATTCTATATCATATTTTATGTTATAATCAGAATGTTATGGTATGAATGGATATTTATCTATAATATCAGCAGAAAACCTGATTCACTTATATCGAAGATAAAGAAAATTCACCAAGACGTTCAATTGCGAGGCCAAGATTTGACATTACCTGATGAAAGAGAATCGTCTACTGTCTGAAACCAGAGCACAAAGATCAACGCCGAAACTGAACAATGTCAATTCCGAATTTTGGCTTTGCAAACTGACCGCTTTGAGGGGCCTCGTTTATCTTTGATAACCATGGATTGTGTGTTTTATCGATCCTGTAGATGATAACTATCTACTTCCTAGTTCAGAATTGTCTATTTACTGATGTATAAGGGATAGAGGTTTTATATTAGTGTTTCAAATTTTTATTTTCTGTGATATTGAATTAAATCCTCACCTATTATCCTGTGCATCAAAAAAATTCAATAATATCGTATGTTACCAGGATGAACAAGCATTATTTTAATGATAATGATTTACATAATTCGAGAAGTCAATTATAATTTTTTTAAATGTAATCTACTTTAGTTCTCAATGCAACAGACAATGCAAGGTTTCCAAAACGCGATAATGGAGTTGCTTTCACCGAAGTTAGGAAATCAACCTCTTGATTTATAAGGGAGTGTTATAAAAAGATTGATACACCTATTAGAAACATTAAAAACAATTTTGTTATACTATAACATGAAAACCCATGTCGGACAGACTTTTGTGAACTTCAAACATTCTGCTCACCTTGAATAATTAATTAGTAATTGCAATTTGAATAATTAAAACAAACAGAAAGGCGAGCTCATACGCATAAAACACACTCAATAAACTAATTTACCAGACAATATTTCTACCAAACATACCACTGCATTGAGATAAGAAATAACATACTGTAGCTTCAAAGTTTTAAATTTGGTCCACTTATGTGAACAGCGACATAGCACAGCAAATATACTGCTGAATGGATTGGTGAATATATTATGTTTTTGAAATTGTCTCTTTAGATCGGACACCAAAGCAACAATAATGCTTGATGACTGAAATTTCCAACTTCTTTAATTTTTTAGAGTTCGTCTCTCCAGCAAAGTGCCTCGATCAAAATTAAAAAAAAAAAAATATTGCACAAAACTGTAATTGAACTTTGATTTTTATGGGAAAGAAATGTTTTGGCTATCTACTTCTTCATCTTATGGTTGAAAAATATTGGTAACACCTGTTTCATGAACAGCGTAATCCAATGTTTATCAAACTCCAGATGATTATTGGAATATTTGAAAAAGGATGAATTCATGGAAGATATCAATACTAGTATTTCTAGTATGGAGGGGGCTTTAATCAAAGCGTTTGCAGAAGTCATCAAGGAGTTGTGGTCAGAAGATTCATTTGATAGAGTAGTGAATACAACCTCCTTAAAAAATCAGATTCAAAGTAATTCCCATCAAGACGCCCAGGAGTTTCTTTTTTTTATCTTTTAGAAGATTTACATGAAGACGTTATTATAATTAATGAGAAACCTAAACCGATCTAAACGGAGATTGACGAAAAATTGAGCGACTGTAGATAAGCACAAGAGTCATGGCTCATATATTTGAGGATACATAACTCTAAGATTGTAGATAATTTCGTTGGTCAATTGAAATCCACGATGAAATGTACATACTGTGGACACTCATCAGTAACCTTTGATTCTTTCTGGGATTTGTCTCTCTCCATACCATAAAGAACCGACCAATTGAGTTTGTGGTCATGCTTGGATTTGTTTACAACAGAAGAAATTTTGGATGGAAATGAAAAACCGACGTGTTCGAAATGCAAGGTGAGGAGAAAATGCACAAAGTCCCTATCAATCCACACGTTTCCCCATATTTTAGTAATAAATTTAAAAAGATTCTCTCCAACGGAAAGATTTAGAGGCAAATTGAATGATGCCATCGAATTTCCTATAGAAGGATTGGATATTGACAATTTTGCAGCAGAAAATGTGGTTACTTGTTGTTATCATCTATATGCACTTTTAAATCACAGTGGGACTACTTATTTACAGAGGGCATTATACGGCATACTGCAGATACCCGTATACTAGCGCTTGGCACAAATACAACAATTCACACGTGTCACCAATTTCACCAAAATCGCTTGTGAGTGGAGAAGCATATATTCTCTTTTATGAAAAGGATGAAACAAAATCGCACCATTGAGATAACCGAGGGAAAGTTTCTTTGTGCAATTATTAATTATTTGTTGTTAAGTTCAAACAAAATAAATATCTTTGTTACTCTATACATAGATGTGTAGATCATGCAAATGTATGTATTATATGTGACACTAGATGGTGAAAATAATTTAATTCACAACACATAGCCGACTGCTACGGAAGGCAAGAGAGATCCACAAACACACGGATAATTTCAACAGAAAAGAAGAAGCGGTGCACCTCAATCGAATATGGAATCCCATTCTAAGAAGTTCAAGAATGGCAAACGGTCGGTAGCCGGGCGGTTCAACGTGGGTGCTTTGTTCACTCAGTCAATCGGCCGATGTGTGAGTCGATGGTTCAAGCCCCAGGCTGAACGCTCGATTTTCTCTTGCTATTGTCCAACCCATGTTAGGAATCACACGTTAAAAGGTAAGACCTCGTCCTTATCTCGCACAAGTTTCGACTTCTGAGGGTTGTCGTTCGTAGGAGTGCCATAGCTGGTTAACGAAAAAAACATATTTTAAACATATTTTTTAAGTAGGTAGAAGACAGTCAATGAATCTTACCGACAAATTACTTAATCCAGGTACAGGTATGAGCACTCCAAACTACCTGACACAGCATAAATACGCGTTATGAAACCGTAATATTCAGTCATCGGATATTAAACCAGGATGTAGAAACCTCTGAAGAAGTTAGCCACTCGCGCCATCGAAACGTCAGTAAGAAATTCCAAAAATCCACGGCCTTCGAACCCGAAAAATAGTAACACTGAAAACTTCGGCCGCGAAAGCCTCAGCCATTTTGACGTCAACATTATTTTGTGAATATTTTCACCTCATTATGTGTAATTCTTATTTACTATTTTGTGGGGACCCGAAATTTTTTTAGATTTTATGGAACGCCATATTTAAAGAAACAATACAAGATTGATTGATTTCCCACTTTTTATCATCGAACTTCTTTTGTCTCTGACTGAAAAATATTGAAATCTTCAAAATACATTTTCCCGAATAACTCATATCTGAGTGGAATGAATCGTCCCGAAAATTGTTCTGGTTCCGAAGATTTTGAAAACCTCGATACTTTGATAAATATAACAGGTCATTTTCATATACCATTTCATATCTTACATATTATAAAAGTATATGGGAATTTGTCTATTTCTAGAGAACATTTCACAAATAAAGTGGTATAATAATTGACACGGGACTTTAGTCAAATTTAATTTAGTTAATACAAATTACCATAAGAAGTTCGAACCTCTGAATAAATGCCATATTCAAAACTGAATGCCATGTGACTATTGGTGAGAAATTATTTTTTTATATACCAGAGAGTATTATACTTTTGCGAACAGTCTGGATTTTGTCTCGTTTTTTATTATATTACATACATACAGTTATTTATCTTGACATGTTAGTATATAAGTGTAATAAATCTAGAAACTGAATTTTGAACCAGTTAACCTCAACTAATTGAGCTGAAATTGTACTCGAACGTTGGATTATTATGACAATGCCGCCATTTCATATCCAATATGGTAGCCTCATTGAGGAGCTCAAAACTTACAGGAAAAACACGTTTGAATTGAAGGGGTTATATTTTTAGGAGTGATTAATTTTTTTTTTTTTTTTGGGAAAGAAAGTTTTTGGCTTTCTACTACTCCATCTGATACAAAAAAAAGGGATGAGAGAATCTTCCAAAGAAAGGAAGGAAGTAATCAATTTGAAACTCTATACATGAATGTGTAGATCATGCAAAGAAGTAACTTTCAGACACAAACTGAAAGAAAGTCCTCCTGAAACAGCTACTTTCATATAAACATTGAATTACACGAAAGAAAATGATTCTTTCGAAACAAATACTTCTATATGAACACTGAATTATACAGAAGATACTTTTCTCTACTCAGTTTGTATTTCAAACATTTGTTGTGGAATAAGAATCAGATATCATTCACATGAGTTCTACTTTGAATGAATGGTAATAAATTGTACTCACATAGAAACATCGGTGTATACCAGTGAGGGTGACAGTGTTCTATGTGAGTACAATTTATTACCATTCATTCAAAGTAGAACTCATGTGAATGATATCTGATTCTTATTTCACAACAAATGTTTGAAATACAAACTGAGTAGAGAAAAGTATCTTCTGTATAATTCAGTGTTCATATAGAAGTATTTGTTTTGAAAGAATTATTTTCTTTCGTGTAATTCAATGTTTATATGAAAGTAGCTGTTTCAGGAGGACTTTCTTTCAGTTTGTGTCTGAAAGTTACTTCTTTGCATGATCTACACATTCATGTATAGAGTTTCAAATTGATTACTTCCTTCCTTTCTTTGGAAGATTCTCTCATCCCTTTTTTTTGTATCAGATGGAGTAGTAGAAAGCCAAAAACGTTCTTTCCCAAAAAAAAAACACGTTGTTATGATGATCCATTAGCAGAAGTATATATATTAAGTCATTCAACCTAGAAAATGTAAAATAATAATTATAATAACCATTTTCATTGTTACAGACTGAAATAGCAAAACGCTTAAACGCAATTATCGCCCAAGTGCTCCCATTCCTGGCTCAAGAACACCAACAACAAGTAGCTACTGCTGTGGAAAGAGCCAAACAAGTTACCATGACAGAATTGAACGCTATCATTGGAGTGAGTTGATGTGCGGGTTTTTTTGGTTGGCAGAGATACATATGTATTAGTAGTATTAGATTTCAATAATTCCTTACCCAATGAAAATTAGGAAAAATGGTAAATGAAGTGTAAGCCAAAATCCTCCCGCAAAATTCCATATACCAAAAAGAGAGATAGATACGCATGAGTAAATCAATGGAAACATGTTTATTTACACGTCACATCTTCTGAAAACTAGTACTGCTACGGATATTTTCACACGATACGAAATTAATCGGCATATTGTATGATATCTATGTATATGGTCCTCAATTTTGTCGCGGAAAATTACACCCCCTGAAAATCCTTACGTCGTTTCAATTCAAAAAATCATTCTTTTATAAATTAGGGCTGCTGGAAATATTTTCACACGAAACGAAAGTATTCGGCAAAAAAATTATATCTTCTGAAAAAAATAACACTGCTGGGAATAATTTCACATAAAACTTATAGGGTCCTCGATTTTGTCAAGAGATTCAACTAGCTTTCCAGGAGTCATATTATTTCGATTGCAAAAATCATATTTTACAGAAAAATGACGCTGCTGATGATATTTTCAGCGATGCGATAGAGTACGCCAAATAATGTTTCATGTACAAATATAGGCAGCGTCGCTGTTTCTTCAGAACTTACGATTTTTCATATCGAAAAGATGAAAAGGATTATAGAGGCGAAGTTTTCCGCGACAAAATCGGGGACCATATAAGTGCGATAGAACCAAATATAATTTACTCATGTAAAGAACGGGCCTCCTATCTTTAAATTTAGGTAAAAAAATGGTTTTTTACTGGTTCGGACTTCCGAAACAACAAATAGAATTGAAATGAATAGCTAAAATATCGAATATATTAAGCAATAAAACATGAAATGAAATTTTAATAAAACTAATATAATCAAGCTGAAAGATGGAAATGATTATTTTATTCAGTGTTAGTATTTTCATTCAGGTTTGAAGGCCGTCGTAATTTGGAACTGCATCTTAACGTTTCGCCAGCACGAGTGGCTGGCTTCTTCAGAGGTTTATTTATCTTGATGATTCACCGATGACTGATGACTCATCGGTTCCAAACAGCAGTTCCAAACTACGACGGCCTTCAAACCCGAATAAAAATAGTAAGACTGAAAATCTCGGCCTCGAAAGCCTCAACCAATTAATATATTCGTTTTATTGTAATTTCATTTTACGTTTTATTACATGATATAATTGATATTTTATCTATTCATTTCAATTTTGATTGTTCTTCCAGATATTTCAAATTATATTAGACAAAGAAAGTCCGAACTAGGAAAATTCACCATAAAAAATGTCAACCAATGTATGAGATATCATCGATTTTTTTTTATTCGTTTGAAAAACCTACTGATGTTCACGTACCCATTCATCCAGAAATGGCCCTCATCGCTGAAAATGATTTTCAACGAAAATTAGGATCAGTTGCCAACTGCTGCACCGATCACACGTTGTTGTCTATGGTCGTTTACCTTCAGTTTTTGGGTCAATTGAATTTTGTAAAGATGCAGGCCCGAGTTACTATACAAAATTCGCCAAGTTGTGATTTGCGAAAGGCCGAGTTCTTGTGAGCGACAATTGTCTGCCTCGGATTCTCCTGCACACGCTCACAGACAGTGGCGATGTTTTTTGGCAGATTTATCCACCACATTGCAAATAGTTCTCTCGGTAGGACGATAATGGCTACCGTAAAATGGACGAAGCGCGCGATACGTTGCCTGAACAGAACACCCATTTTGATAAAACAATTTCATTATTTGCACTTGGTGATTTTGCAAAACAGACTTCAACAAGATGACCGTTATCAATTGTCAAAGTTTGGAAGTCTATGTTGGTAGCCCTTTATATTTCCAGCAAAGTTATGATTTTTTTTCAGTCGAAATGATGAAAAGGGGGTGCAGAGGATAAATTTTTCCGCGACAAAATCGAGTACCATATATCTATTATAGAATACTTTCAATTTATGTGGAAATATCTACAGCAGCGCTTTTTTAAATCGAAATGATGAAAGGGGTTGCAGGGAGGCAACCCCTTTCATCATTTCATCATAAAACTATTGTTTTATGTGAAAATATCCCCAGCAGCACTATGATTTTTTCAACCGAAATGATATGAAAGTTATGGAACACGTTGAATCGCTGAATACTATTATTTCCTGAAAAAATATATCTATAGTGCTATTTTTTCAGAAGATATAATTTTTTCAATGGAAATAATATGAAGGGTAGTGGGGATAGAGTTTTCTGTGACAAATACGAGACATACTAAATGCATATTTTTCGAATCATGATTGTTCGAAATCATATTGACTTCACGTATTGAAAATTTACTGATTTCGTAGAACGAATTTCCCTAAGTATAAATTTTCATGGCTAGCCATGAAATGAGTTTCCAAAAAGACAAATTTTCACAGATAGCCATGAATTTTAACGACCAATAGTGGCTTGGTGCACTCCATTTCTTGAGCGGTAAATTCTCCAATTCGTGGCTGAAACCCATGGTTACCTTTACACTGGTATTTTATAATACGTTTTCCGATATCCGATAATTTAAAATTTCTATTATGCGAAATCTTAGACAGAAACATTCCTAATTTGAGGTTATAATTATCTACTTACTGTAAAATATGAAATGTTTACAGTTTATTATTTGGGATAACAACTCTTTTTGTAGTATAAAGGAATTCAAACCGTAGAAATATTTCTGTCAATACTTCAAAACTATCAAACGGTAGTCTTGCATCACCAATTTGTTTGAGACTTTCAGGAATGGTCAACGATTGTAAGTTCGAAATAACAAAAACAAAACGCCCTCGATTATTAAACGCAAACGTTAACTGTTCAGTCTTCGTTTTTAACTTGTAAAAGAAAGCGATGCTATTTGAAGTAATTGTTTTACCGCACACTTCATTAATTACACATGTGTAATCTTTTGATACCAATTGTACTTCAAAACAACCCGGTTAAGTTGAATATATATCACTATTGTCAATGAAAGGTTTTATTATAATTCTATCAATTACGACATAGTACAAATTATTTTAGATCAAGATAATATATTAATTATTTAGAATAATGGGAAAATTATATAATCAGCAACTTTATTATAATAGAGGAGTACAAAATATAGATTGTTTAATGATTGATTCTTCAAAGCGTAAGGAATCTGGATAAACATATTAATTGAAATTCGTAGCGATTTTTACATCAAGAACAGAACAACCATTTTTTAGTCCAATAATATGTCCGGTAACTCAATAGGATGTTAAAGCCGATTTAAAAGTAAAAAATCTTTTCATATCCTGCACTTATTGAAAATTAATATATCATCACCACATTAGTGTACTTTCGATATGAAATAGTTCAAATGTTCTTTAAAGTGTATTTATAGACTTACTCAGGGTATGACAGTCTAACTTCAAATCGTTCATAGAAATATTTAAACGTACTTTATTGCTTAGTAACGTGTTCATACTCTGGCAACTTGCCGATAATGAGCTTATGAACGCAATCCAGGAGTAGAAAGGCACAAAAGACGGTTAGCAGTTTCAAAAAAACAATGGAACTTTACTGTTTAGGACTTACTTAAACCAAAAAAAATATTTATTTTATTGAACACACTGGGAAATGCAAATATTTGAATAAATAAATGATACAATTTGATCGTCCACTCGATCATACATGAAAGTTACTTCCTTTATGTTGTCAGATAGTATGTTTTTGTTAACTCCTACAAATTTAAATTATTTTTCCTGTTGTCCGATTTATTTTTACCAAGACCAGATTCTTAGTTATTATTTCTCATTTTCATTAAATAAATAGTTAGTAAGAGAAAGAAGGCAGTTTCTTCTCAATGCTAGCAACTTTGCTTGAACTTGTTTCATCTTGAAAAATGTGTATACTGTCAAGTACCAATAACAGAATTGCTTTTTTCCAAAATATAACCCAACAACTCCTGTTTTTTTCAAATTGTATTATTGTCTTTTATAGATTTTATATCCAGTAAAATATCAGTCCTGTTTTATATTTTATTTCAACTGGTAGTGATTTTATTTGTGCTACTTATATTTTTATATTGCATGATTACACTCGTTTTAGTATTTCGAAATATCTTTCGTGCGCTGTTAATTGCTTAATTTAATTGTAAATGATTTGATATAAATCTGTAAGTAGTAACTTGAAACAATTATTGCGTGTTGAGTTAACGTACAATGGTGTCGGTTGATTTATTTTGAATCTTAATTGTGTTGTTGTTTCCAGCAACAGCAACAACAAGGTCTCCAACAGTTGCTTGTAAGTAGTTCCTACTAGTTCTTTTGATTATTATAATGTTTTCCTAAGATGGAACACGAAAGGAATTAGTAAACAGTACCTAATCGTGGTAGCAACATAACTGACTCTCAAATATATGACAAACAGTACCTAATCGTGGCAGCAACATAACTGACTCTCAAATATATCACAAAATGTCACATGATAATTTTTTATGAGTATTTTTCTCATTGAAATTGAAGAGAAATATTTTTAAAGTTCATTGAATACATTATTCAAATATAACTTTAGTTAAGACTGAATTTAAATCGTCTTTTATAATTATACAGTTTCGATTTTCAGTCATTTCAACTATAATTAGGTTATCTTATGAAAAATTGCCTTTCGAGTGCCATCTTGTACAAGGCGCGTAGAAAAGTATATAAGGATACGAATGGTTGCGTGTTGTCATTAAAATGTTCCTTCTTTGTAGCCTTTTATATTTGTGGTAGTTTTGTACTTTGTGGTAGATTGCATGTGGTTGTTCATTAGTGTAGTCGTTTATATTAATATATTACGGGAATCTTGCAGAACGGAATGTTCAACTAGCAACTGACAAAAGTAATATTCCAATTTTCTAGAGAAAATTAAAAACTGATTGTTCATATAGAGAACAGCGTTTCATACTTGTACGATTATTTGAAATATATTTGAAATATCGGGCATTGTCCAAATAAGCATTATAAATTTGATCGCACACCTATAATAGATAGACAAAAAAGTGCATAACCTCGAAGTTAATTAGGTCAATTAATTTTCTTTTCGAAGCACTCAATTAACTATACATTTTTCAAATGAATTGGTAAAATCATTTTTGTCGCTATTCAAACAAAAAACAACTTTTTGGATTTGATAATAAAACCTAAGGATTCTCGTCCAGTGGGAGCGAAAAGCTGCGAACTGCGAAGCAACGAATTCGTGCGAACGCCGTTCGTTCGAAATTATGCGATGCTCATCGTCCATTACTCAATTGCTCAGTATTCGTCCGGATTTGTAGTTGGTGAGATGGTTCTTCAGAACTGATTCTAATGTAGAATTTTTTGCTTTTACCGCTTTTGATTCATCGTCGTATCAGGCACAGGAGATATCAATTCAATCAAGGCTGAATTTTAGAATTTGCTTGTATATACTTCGTTCTATCTCGCGTCGCGTCAGATACAAACTGTTGGTGATAGTTCCCTTTATTTCTTCATTTTACGAATTTTACTAAGACTCCTTAGGCAATTGCATGCTAGAGTCTCAAATTTTCTACTAATAGGTACTATATAAAGTATATGAAAGTATATGAAAATAGTGAGTCGATCAATAATCATCCAAATTTGGCACCTCATGCGCGAGATAGCGATATAGTGTTACCTGCCTGTAGAAAAACTATCATATAATATTTGTATACGGATTCGAAATGGCGACTGTTTAAAAAAAAATCTGTTTTGAAATCTGTTTTTCCATTAACCAACTGTCGCACCCCTACGAACGACAACCCTCAGAAGTCGAAATTTGCGAGCTAAGGATTAACGAGGTCTCACCTTTTAACGTGTGATTCCTAACACGTAATGTAATTTCTTCAATAAAAACTTGTCGACAACTTCTTATTTCTAAATTTTGCCATACCTTTGAGACAGTATGGTCTTGATTCAACCAAGTCTTATCTAAATGATGAACTTTTTTACTGAATACGATAATACTCTTGGTTTTTTTTCAAGTAGTTTCTCCGCTACAAAACCATTTCTTCTCATTTTATAAGAGCGCTTTTCCTACCTCTTTTCATAAATGTAATGTTCATTTGCTTCAATGCACGTCGTTGTATCTTGTGCATCGATTCATCGGAAATTATTTCGTCGGCGACTGTTTTAAAGATTGGGATTTCATTTCAGAAAGAGAGCAAATGGAATTTCCAACGAGAAGCATATTTGGTGCAATCATCAAGCTGAATTTGTTTTCTTCCTCTAGTTTCAATGTCTTCAGATACATTATCACATTCACTTTCATTTTCCTTGAAGGTTTTGAGAATTCCGTGATCACTTCTCGCCGACACTTTAGTTAAATCACTACACAAATTAACTACGAAATTATATTACATATTTTCATTCCGTTCACGGAGCCCACAATACACATTGTATATAATTTTTTTTTTCTGATTGATTCGGTCGTTACTTGATGAAGATCCATAGTAATTTCAAGAACTACACCTCACGATTTGATCTCCACAAACTTTATTTGAAAAATATATCACAACATGTTTCGCTAGCACAGTAGCTTTCTCAAGTGATTTGAATTCGCAAGTGTTTGTGGAGATCAAATCGTGACGGGTAGTTTTTGAAAATAAGAGTTTTTTTCTCTTACAGATAAATTCAGACGCCTGCCTTTGCTTTGACCTAAATCTACATAACTTGATGATAATAACATATCAAAGAAAAAAAATTATATTGACTCTACGTATTATTCAACGAATGTTACATGAGTGTTAACCTAACCACGCTCAGCTGATTGGCCATCATATCTCTCCATCTTAAATCTGCCGTTCTTTTTTCCGCCCCACAAACATCTCTGTGAACGCAACGTTACCATTTATAAATTTTAGTCGCAAAATATAATTCAAATTTCTTATATTCATTTCATAAACATTGATGTTGTTGAATACAAGACAACAATGTTTTCGTTAAAAAGCAATAATACCTATTTCTGAGAATTTAGTGCCTACTCTTATGGCATTTTAGAGTACCAATGGAAATAGATATTCCTTCAAATGTTTAAATAATGTAAAAATCACAGAAATTTAAAATAAAAGTTACTTTTCTTAGCAAAATATATTCATTACTATATACTTGATTGTCGTCTAGTTGCTTAGTATAGGTATATAACATTCCAATCTCCAATATTCTCGAAATAATTGAAGTCCGAATTTAATTAATTCTCATCATAGATAAAGTTATTGACTCTCGCCGATAGATTATTAGTTCATTATTAATTCAGCAGCAAATTCACGCCCAACAACTTCCTCATGGTGCTCATGGACCGGGTATGCCAATGGGCCCTCATCCTGGTTTACCAGGCATGGGCCCCGCTACAGGACTGCTGGGCTTTGGCGCCGGTTTGGCTGGAGGTGTACCGGGGGCTCCAGGAAGCGCCCATCCTTCAGTAGCTGCTGGCGCACATCCTCTCCTTAAACCCGCCGACCTACATGCCAGGGATCCCCAGGATCTGAAGCGACCTGGTAGCACGAATGCCGAAGAAAGACTGGTGAGTTCATGAAAAAACGTATTTCTGTTATTGTGTTTTATTTTTCTGTAATCTGTTATATTTGTAATTCACCATAAGTTTTTCATTAGCGGTTCACATTCATAAAGAATTCGATTCTGACCAATTAGTGACAAAGAGGCAAATAAAGAATGATGCCTTCGTATCAAATTTCAAGACCGAATAACTGAAATAAAAAATTAAAAGGGATGATTGATTTTCAAGAAAGAAAGACATCCAAGAAGAATAATTTCTATATAGATGCTGCTTTTGATTTCGCTATACCCACAACTTCAGAGATGTTTCATTCAAGAAAATTCTTCGAAGATGATGTTTTACACACGCACAGCCTGTCAAATCTAGAAAGAGATTTGTGATTTCTCTTTCTTCCTCTCGCTGTCACCGTATTCTAACGAATGCGCATCTAGTGGGTGGAACAATATCAAAGTTTAGAGAACTATATTCTCCATGTGAAGAAGATTCGATAAAACTCCTATTCCAATTTTGTTGGGAAGGCAAAAAAATCTCATTCGAGATTTTTACTGACATAAACATAAAAAGTGGAACTAAGAAGATGGTTATCCAAATAGTTGAAAAGTTTTTGTTTAATATGTGAAAGTCTCATTTTCTCAAGTTTAATTACATCAAAGTTGGTATAGATTTAGACAGAGGAAAGAATTCATGCTATCTGGCATTAACTTATTTAAATTTCAAATCACAAGAAGTCAAGTATATTTTTGTTTATTAAAAATAATCAAAACAAACTCACTTTAAAATTACAATGTCGTGGTTAGTTGGTGATATTATATTACTTTTGACATTTTTCAGTGTTGAAATATTAATTTTTTAAGTTTGTCATCTTCTCCACTATTTGCCTAACCAACAAAGGTATGTAACCCGTGGCTTCACGGATGTCCTGTTGGACAAATCTTAAATAGTGATTCGTTACCTTACACTTCACCAACGGTATCTATCTTGACATCGTTGGTAGATACATTAACTTTTCAAGAAAGTGAATTTGATTTACCTGAATGCAATTTTTGCGTATACAGGTAATGAGGACATTTTTGCGCCTTATTACTACAGATTAATTATAACAGGCTACATCAACGACGTGTGGATAAACAATAGCAATAATTTTACGGAGTGGCACTTTTCCGTTCAGAGGTAACCAAAACTAGGGAACATTTTTTTTCAGGCTTGTTATTCATGTAAACCAGGTCATACCGGAATTGTTCATACTCATAGTAATGTTCATCTCATTGTAATGAGATTTAAAAAATTATAGGGTTTGACTACTTCATATCTATCGTTAGTGTATCTAGAGTTGTTAAAGCAAAGCAATCACGATTTATTATTCAATGCTGAAAAAATAAAGTCAAGCTATTTTGAAAAGCCTATACTCATAGAAGATGAATTTCACTAGTTCGGACTTTCATTATCTACTATATAAAATGATTTGAAATCCCTGAAACAACTAAAAAAGAAGAATTAAAAATGATATAGCTGAAAATAATAATTATATTAACCAAAATAAACCTGAAATGAAATAATAGTGAAATAAAATACAAGTAAAAATAGAACAATTGAATAAATAAAAATAAAGAAATGAAAAAAGAAAGAAAATAAAAAGTGAAGAGATTCCAAGTCACGTTAGTTCACGACGTTTCGATTGTTAGTATCTACAATCGTCTTCGGGTGATGACTTGGACTGATTCCTCCGAGAGATGACTATTTATAGGTCGTTCGAGTACTTACACTTATCCCCGCTTTCCATTTTCCGCTTCACTGCTTCCGTGGGAGATGACCGTTTTGGCGGGAGTTGGCCATTTTTCGCTTGATGATGGGTTTCCATATGTTGCGTATTTCTACGCTGGCTTGGCTTAATACGTTGTTGGACAACATGTATGCGGCTTCCTTGAATTTTCTCCTAAACCAATGTTCCTCTCTGTGCAAGATCTCAGCTTGGGACCACTCGATGTTGTGTTGATGGGTCCAAACATGGTCTGCTATTCCAGCAAATCAGGAATAGCAATACTTATCTTGTTATAGAGTGAATAGCTTATCTGATTTTTCTATTGTCGTTGGTTTCTCGCAGTAAACCCATTCCTTAATGTATTTTCAGAAATGTATCAATTGTAATTTCTTTCCACTTAAGTGAAGATTCTAAACAGTTCACATCATCGCTAATTTTCTGTGTTCCTTCCACACTTTGTTTACATTTGTTCTTTACACTTCTTCTTCCTGAAACTTCTTTTTAGAAAAGCAGTTTACGAATGTAATGAATATTACTACCTACTTAATATTTAATAATTTCATACATTATAGGTTAGGTTAGGTCCAAAGTGAGTGGGTCTATTCGACCCTCCACTGCAACCCGCAAGGGTTCATTGTGGCTCACACCTATTCACACTCGGCCAAATAAACCCAGCTTCATAACGAAGCCGATTAGTTTGTATGGTGAGTGGTCTTTCAGGTCAGATGGTGAGAGTACGGCTCTGCCGAACTCTAAAGACTTGATTCTGTCCCCACCTTGGTAGGCACAAATTATATGCTCAGTTAATGATATAGTCGGATAGTCAAGTTGGAAGATTCCTACCTTGATACCCACGACAACCTTCCCATATGAGGGTTTTTGCACGTCAGCTACACCTGACGATGTTTTAAATTCAGCCGTGCAGGGCTTTTTCGCCTCTAGTTTTGGTGAATCATCACTTGAGCGCAAACGTTTGCTAACCTGCTCATGGGGGTTTGTTCCCCCACCTGAGACAGATTCTGCGTACGCCGCTCAAGAATTTGGTGCAAGGCGGTTTTATAAGGTACCCCGCTCTTGAGGAGACGACCCAGTCGTTTCCTGGCTGCACCAGGTTCAGTTGTTGGATCAGGAGTTGGGAAGTAGAGAAGCTCCTCTCTAGACTCGCTCCTGAACTAAATTTACAGGGAGGTCAGTTGGAGCCGTAAACTCGACATCCATCTCCTCTGTAGACTAGCTTCTGAACTCAATTTACAGAGAGGTCCGTTGGAGTCGTAAACTCAACATCCATCTCCTCTGTAGACTCGCTCCTGAATTAAATTCACAGAGAGGTCAGTTGGAGTCGTAAACTCGTCATCCATCTCCTCTGTAGACTCGCTCTTGATCTAATTTCACAGGGAGGTTAGTTGTAGTCGGAAGCTCGACATCCATCTCCCAAATAGACTGAGCGTCAGAAAGAATTTTTAAGTTTACTCTGTCCATAAAAGTCTCACGAGTAGCTAGGGAAAGAAGGTCAATCACGGCAGAGCCCCGCATTACCGTGACAAGGCGATGCTATGACGAGAGGGCGCCCGGTATCTCGAAGGTTGGACATGTGATAAAATAAAACTACACTGAGATTCATTTCCTATTTTGAAGCATTTGATAAAAATTATGAAAATAATTGCTTTGATTCAACGACTTTTATGCTCCTCTCAAGAATTATATACCTTTCCGATAGATATGAAGTAGTCAGACCTCATATTTTTTGTAAACCTATAGTGTGGCCTTATTTACTGTTTAAAAAAAAGAGAAAATAGGATACTTATCAAGCATTGATTCCCAATGTATGGAAAAAGCGCTACACGGTAAAATTATGAATAGAAAAAAAAAGAATATTTGTCTGTATTTATTATTTCATTCAATCGGGTAAGAGATATCTAATTTCGAATGGACCCATTTTCTGACATAAATCCCGCCACAATTTACGAACCACCCGGTATATACCCCAAACAACTCTTTTCAAGGAAATACATAAAATTGAAATATATATGGTGTTCTACTGAAAGAAACACACCTTTGATGAATTACACGTTCATTAAACACCATGTACATTGATAGTTATTCTTGTCAAATAGCTTTATTCGAAACATTGTTTTCCTATCTTGAATAAAGCGTCTAATCGTCCTCCCACATATCGTTAATCCCTGTGTAACAATTTGTTTGACTTTCTTCAAAAATTGAATACGAAGAGTGAACGCTTCAAAATATGTATCAGACTTTATTCCAGACGGGGAAAAATATGTGTAATATACAGTGTCACCATTAAAGTGTGCCACCACCATATTTTTTTTTCGAAAAGTTTCAATGAAGTTTAACTTCGGCACTTGTTTGTGCTTTAAATTTAACTTAAAATGATGTGGCCAACTGCGACCCACTGACGTTCAGTGTTTGTCAAATTCAACTTTAAAAAAAAATTGAAAAAGTGCATTTCTAGATTGAATTTAACAAAAAGTTACTTGAAAAAGTTGTGTCTACGGCAATTTTATATCCATATGCCAAATTTTATGCAACTAGGATAAAGTTAACGTTTTGCTTATTTTTGACAGATATCCCCTTTATTTTAAAAAACAAGTTCGGTTAATTGTCATCAATTAATGTATACATAACAAACTCATCATGGAGTTTAACTTTTCTGATAAATTTTTACTTATACGGACATTTTTAGAGAGAAATTCAAAATGTGCTATAAAAATTTCAACATGTTTCAATCACTTGGCTATTTTCTTAAACAAACGTCAGTATTTTCAATTTTGAAAAAGTAGACACAACTCAAAAACTGCAATAAGTATTAATAAAATTACTAGAGTTGAAATTGCATTAAAATTTCAATATTCAGTATTCACAGATTATTTATAAACACTAACTAGGGCGGTAAGGATGCTTAATCACGTTGAATAAAATTTTTAAGTTGATCTTGACAAACAAAATGCATGCTATGGTAGTGTCAAGTTGTTGATTTACTTGTCAAATTTTCAACAGTTATTGTTGCAATAATGTTGTCTCTTCAGGAAAGAATAGAAATAGTTTCAATATGTGGTGAGAATACACCATACCGGCAAGTAGCTAACATTTTTAATAAACGGCATCCAGGAAAAAATGTTCAACATACTACTGTGTCAAGGATAATGTCGAAATTCAGAGAAACAGGATCCGTAGCAAATCAATTTAAGAAAAAGCACACTCCAAGTAAATATAATGAGGAGGCCCAACTTCACAAACAAGTGCCGAAGTTAAACTTCATTGAAACTTTCCCATATGGTGCGCACTTTAATGGTGACACTGTATAATTTTCATTTGCATTTTGACGAGTTTAATTATAGCACGGTGACGTGCTATGATCAGTCTGTGGTGGATTTACTATTTGAATTTTCATTCTAGGATTTTTTTTCAGAACTCCGTTTCCCCCGGAGAAAGAGATAAATACAGATCGAGATCTCCAGCCGATATCGATACAATCAAAAGGCGGAAAGAAGACAAATTGGGGCACGTAAGTGTAAATATCAATTATCACAAGTTGTAATATTTTTTTAACTGTTTTATGGTGTTCAAAATATTCGAGTTTGTTACATAACGTTCAAAAGCTTCTTAATCGATCAATTTCGTAACATCCAAACCGTAGATGGTTTATATAGCAAATACAGGAATAGTCCTGAAATCATTCAAATCAAATGAATCAATTATGATGGTGAACTAATATAAAATCATTGAGTTTGTTCTCATATTTTTTCAGTTAATACTAATTACCATTTCCAAAAACAAATATTTTTCAGGTCAATTCTACCCATCATTTAGTCAATGACGGATCCAGTTAATAGGTGAAATATAATTACTTCAATTCTGAAAAAGTTTAGTTTCAAATTTATCAATTTTTACATAATGTTATATCATATCATTCATGTCATATCAATTCTTCAACATTATATTCGAATACAAAGTGAATAGTAAGGACTACGAAGATGTCATTACTACACAAAGTCTGAGGAATAATCTCCGGATGTAATTTTTTTATTAATTTATTGAGAAATAATAAACATTTATATTTAAAAAAAAATTCACTAAAATTATTTTTCAAATCTATTTTTTAACATTTGTACATTCACCTGAGTTTTTACCTGTCCTATTCATCTATTGAAAAATAAATTGTCCCTGAGTTGGGTTTCCCAGTATAAGACGAGAAAAATTTGTGTTACTCTTATACTTGCTATAAGGATCTGAGATTATTCGTTAGACTTTCTAGATATGTTTTACAAAAAAGTTGCTAAAATCAGCTTACATTGAAAAATGCTAGCTTGTCTTTCGGTTGGAAATTTGAATCTTTTTTTTATGTACTACGAGTCAACGGTACGATCGTACCCTCTGTTGCTGGACGCCATCATCACCACATTATCAAGTTGACGAGTAACTGGACTAAATGAGACATTCCCTGATCTAAATTTCACTACCAGAGTGTCTCCGAATATTTCTGACACTTTTAGAGCCATTCCGCATCAAACCTGTTCAGTGAAATAAGTATCTCTCGAGGTATATATACCTACTTTACCAAATTATCAATGAGTAGAACGGAAAACATGAAACTATTTCAGCATCACTTTTTGTGGCTATTTCTGTCCACACTAGAATTTTTGACCTGAAGATAACTTGACATTATCACTGAAACTTTGGCAATATAATTTGGAATAGTGAATATAATATATAGTATCAATCATTACATTTTTAAAAGTGAGACAATGCAGTTGATCATTACCATAGCAGCGAAATAATGACTGATATTTATCAGTCGACATTTCTATTTTTGAAAGTTTGCAGCAAAAGTGAATCTGAAAATGTGCCGTACGAAATTTACAGTGCAGCAGCTACTACCATAGCACAATCATTACCTTGAAAAGTGTAGGAAAATGTAGAAAAAAGTTTATGAATTGTTCTCGAAATGAATGAATATGCTGATATGACAAGATGGCTGACAAGAAACATTGTAGTCCTAAATGCTCCCCAGAAACACGAAATTATGGTTTTATATGTTGTAAAAATGAACCAATGAATATGTACTACGTTTGTGTAAAGTATGTTGGTGTTTTTCATAAAAGTTGTGCGGGAAAATCCAAATCACTAAGGCATTTAGGCAGTCATAAAGTGATATGTAGGGAATGTGACACAGACCTTGACTCAAGTGAGGTGGATAATCCTTGGACATGAAAGCACCAGTTTTTGTTGACACGGAGACCCAAACCCAGGAAACATGTAAAAAAAGTTCATTGATGAATAACATGAATCACATATCTACACAGATAATCCCAACTGACTTTACAACGTTGACAAATCTCTCGAATCTACAGGTAAACACTGAAATGTACAATAAAAAAAATGTGAACCGTCGAAAGGGAACGTAGAAGAAAAAGAAGGAAAAGTGAAAACAAAAAACAGAATAGAGAAGAGGAATCTGAGAAAAAATACCAAAAACAAATTGAAACGGGACACGACTGATATATTTTCAGTCGAAAAGGGGACTATGAAACTGAATAAACAATCGACTATTCTTACGGATTCATCCCATAAGAAGAAACGATTGAAGAAAAGAAAAAACAAAATAGTTAATGAAACTTTGCTGGAAACTAACTTAGCCACTGAACTTTCGAGTGCATCTGAGCCAGATGTTACTGATGCTTTCAGGACCAGAGCCATGGAAATATCAGATTTGCCAGAAGATCAAGATGCAGTGCACGATAGAATAACGAATTTATCTGTTGTATGTCCACAAAGTAAAATCCTCATTTTGGAAGATGAGTATGCTATAAACTATCATAAGGTTTTCAATAGTATGGTCAATTCTGAACAAAAATATAAAATATTCTCAATTATCAAATCTAATGCAGAGCTTGCGCACATCACAGAGAGATGTTGTGAAAATTAATTTAACTATGGCAAGCGAGATCATTTAATTGTAATGTTTAACACAAACAATATTATTTGGGAAACAAAGTTTTTGGCTTTCTACTACTCCATCTGATACAAAAAAAGGGATGAGAGTGTATTTTCTATAATGTTATCCAATTTGGTACTGAAGAGCCTAAGGGCAAGTGTCTTAAGGCGAAATATCGGTGTATACCAGTGAGGGTGACAGTGTTCTATTAACATTCATTCAAAGTAGAACTCATGTGAATGATATCTGATTCTTATTCCACAACAAATGTTTGAAATACAAACTGAGTAGAGAAAAGTATCTTCTGTATAATTCAGTGTTCATATAGAAGTATTTGTTTCGAAAGAATTATTTTCTTTCGTGTAATTCAATGTTTATATGAAAGTAGCTGTTTCAGGAGGACTTTCTTACAGTTTGTGTCTGAAAGTTACTTCTTTGCACGATCTACACATTCATGTATAGAGTTTCAAATTGATTACTTCCTCCCTTTCTTTGGAAGATTCTCTCATCCCTTTTTTTGTATCAGATGGAGTAGTAGAAAGCCAAAAACTTTCTTTCCCAAAAAATTAATCACTCCTAAAAATATAACCCCTTCAATTCAAACAATATTAGTAACTCAAAATTACTGAATCAAGCAATGAGAAATTTGCTACCTCTGGGCCGCACTACTAATGTCATTATTGTCGCACAAATTAATAATCCGTCAGACACAATTATAATCAACAATATGAAACAATATCGAAAGGTACAGAAAAAACCTAAGAAACATATCCATCTCATTACTCGTTGATCCAATGCTCAAAGGCAGCAAATTCAAAATTGCTCATGAAATAATGAATTTAGTGCTGAATAACTCCTTGTATGATAATATTGTATTGAAATCAATCAAACGAATGAATGAAACAATGATTCATAGGCAGTTTTTTCGTGGAAAAAGTATATAATAATACTCGGGATCAAATGAATCTTCCATCTGAAAAATTGAAGAATAATAATTTGTAAAATATTTCCTTGATATATTTCATCAAAATGTGCAATGTATAAGAAAGAAATGTCTTAGAATTGATGATGTATTTACTGACGTCAAATGTGACATTCTTCTGATATCTGAACACTGGCAGGATGATTTGAAAATAAAGGACGTAGTACTTGAGAATTTTACATTGGCCAATGCCTATTCTAGAGAAACCATGGGACATAGCGGAGTGGCAATATATAAGAATAATGGGTGTCAACTGTCTCTATATAAGTTAGATCTGAATGATATCTCTGTAGAAGGATTATTTGAGTGTTGTGCAGTAGCACATGAAAAATATATTGGTGTGTTTGTAGTTTATAGACCTCCCGGTACTGATCTCAAACTATTTTTAGAATGTTTTGCAAATATGCTGGAAAAAGTTGCTTCTCATTATAAAACTATTGTTATTGGAGGTGACTTCAATATTAATTTCTTGGAATATAGTAATGGCAGGGCACTCTTAAGGTTAACAATAAGGTATCCAACTAGAGTGACTGCAATTTCTAGTACTTGTGTAGACAATATTTTTTATAAGCTCCAATATAAATGACTGGCGATCAGAAGTGAAAAATCTAAATCTGTCAGACCATTTCTCTCAACACTTGGCTTTCAATATGGAATATAACCTCAAATCTGCTCCTCAACAATACAAGTTTTCGCTAAAATTCTCAGAACAGAATATTCTGAAGTTTATGAATCAATTGGAAGATGAACAATGGGAGAATATTTACACTGAAAATAATATCAATAATGCTTGGAACAAATTTTTGAATATCATTAGTGATTTGATAGATTCCTGTTTCCCTATTAAAAAAATACCCATTAATAAAAGAGGTGAAATGCGAATTTGGTTTAACGAGGAACTTCTGCATTTAAAGCAACAATTAACTCATATCGAATTTAGCAACTTCTTACCCAATATATCATCAACCAAGAGCAGAGCTACAGAAACGCTACTGCAATGCATTGTCAGAGGCTAAAAAAAGATATAATGATGATTTGATAATGAAAGCAAATAATAAATCAAAAACTGTTTGGAAAATTATTAATAATTTGAAAATACCATAAACCTTCACGATGACTATGGTAAACAGATGACTGCCTCGGAAATGGCTGAGCAGTTTAACATCCATTTCACTAGAGATCCATTTTCGGTAAATCAGCATGATCTGGATTATGTAAAGTTGAATATGCCAGTGTCACAAAAATCGTTTTTCTTAAAGCCTGTAGATGTTAAAATATTGATTGATAATTTGAAATCTCAAGTAACCTACTAAAAAAATCGTATGCAGGCTTATGTGAACCATTGGCTTTTCTCATCAATCTTTGTTATTCTGAAGGAATTTTCCCAGAATGCTTGAAGTTAGCTGTGGTTCTGCCATTATACAAAAAAGGTGATTCTGATGACTTATCCAATTTTAGAGCCATCAGTTTATTGTCAAGTCTCTCTAAACTCGTTGAAATGGACATCACTAATCAACTCTCATCATTCCTGTAGAGTCAGAGACTGTTATCCAGAAATCAACATGGATTCTGTAAAAATATGAGCACAGAATCTGCTCTGTGTGATTTTCAAAAATGTCTT